TAGAGTTACCTGGGAAAAGGGACCTCAGCTGAGAAAATGCCTCTGTCTCTATCCATATTGCCTGTAGGCACTCTGGAGGACATTTCTGTGTGTGTGTGTGTGTGTGTGTGTGTGTGTGTGTGTGTGTGAGAGAGAGAGAGAGAGAGAGAGAGAGAGAGATTTTCTTGATTAATGACTCATGTGGGCTAGTCCACACCACTATGAGTGGTACTATCCCTGGGCAGGTAGTCCTGGGGTGTATAAGAAAGCAAACTGAGTAAGCCAGAGGGAGCAAGCCAGTCAGCAGTATTGCTTTGTGGCTTCTACTTCGGTTCTAATCTTCATATTCCTGTGCTGCTTGAGTTCTTGCCTTGACATCATCCCTCAGTGGTGAACTATTATTACCAAGAAGTGTAAGATGAAATAAGCCCTTTTCTCCCCAAGTTGATTTTTGTCATAGCAATAGAAACCCTGACTAAAATGGAAATTGGTTCCAGGAGTGGGGTATTGCTATGACAGACCTGCCATATTGTTATGAGAGGATGGTGAAGGATTTGGGAACTTTGGGCTGAAAAGGCCATTGAATGTTCAAATCTTCTTGGGCTATTTTTGTGGGCGCTTGAAAAATAGAGTATTAAGAGAAATGCCAGCAGTGTAGGTTTGGCTTGTGACGTTTCAGAGGGAGGCAAAGGCTCTTCCAGGGCTGCTTGTTTAATATTTTGCATTACAAATCTGTGGTGTCTGTTGGGCAGTGGTGGTGCGCACCTTTAATCACAGCACTCAGGAGACAGAGGTAGGTGGATCTCTGAGTTTGAGGCTAGCCTAGTCTACAGATAGAGTTCCAGGACTGCCAGGACACTGTGAAACCCTGTCTTGAAAAAAAAAAAGAAAACAACAATAGAAAAAAATAAATTGTGGGGCTGGAGAGATGGCTCAGAGGTTAAGAGCACCGACTGCTCTTCCAAGGGTCCTGAGTTCAATTCCCAGAACCACATGGTGGCTCACAACCATCCCTGGTGCCCTCTTCTGGTGTGCAGATATACATGGAAGTAGAATGTTGTATACACAATAAATAAATAAAATCTTAAAAAAATAAATTGTGGTATCTGGTTAACTGGAGCTGAATCTTGTCTCTTAACAAGAGACAAGAATGACTGAAGTGAAACCTTTGCTTTACTGTGTTTTAATGATACAGTCGAGGCTGGTTAGCTAGAGCTGAAAAATTAGTGGTGATTAAGAAGAGACCAGCAGCCAGAGAGTAGTGTTGCATGCCTTAATCCCAGTACTTGGGAGACAGAGGCAGGTGGATCTCTGTTAATTGAAGGACAGCCTGGTCTACAGAGCTAGTTTCAGGACAGCCAGGGCTAAGAAGAAAAAAAATCTGTCTCCAAAAACAAAACAACAACCAAAAGAAAGAAAGAAAGAGAGACAGAGAGAGAGAGAAAGGAAGGAAGGAAGGAAGGAAGGAAGAAAGAAAGAAAGAAAGAAAGAAAGAAAGAAAGAAGAGAAAAGAGGAGACCAGAATCATTGAGGTAAAATCTTATGTGAGTATTTCCTCAGGGACAGCACACAGAAGCTGTGATCCAGGGTGGCCAAGACTGCATCTCATGTTGGCAGCCAAACTTGGTAATGTATAAGACTCAACCAGATGGTGTCAGTTTTGAAAGCATGAAGAAGTCATGAAGAGCACCTGAGGTTGTGGCAGGGCTGAAGTCCCTGAAAAAGGCCATTGTTGCTGGTGCCGCCTCAGTTGCAGTGGAGACCACAGGATACAAGCAATACTAACTAGTACTATGAGACAGCCACTGAGAACAGAAGCAGGTGTGGAGGAGAGCCAGCCTGAGTCTACATGCTGTGTGTGCTGTGACGGGCAGAGCTGGAGAAATGGAACCCCGTGGAGCTCAGAAGTCTATGAATTCAAATATCAGATATTTAGGTATTTATACTTTTGGACTTGGGTTTCACTGTTTCCTGATTCTTCCTCATGGAGTAAGAAAGTGTATCACTTAATTTTGATTTTTATTAGTCCACATTTTAGATACTTTGGATTTTTTAAAATTAGTATAGTGTCTTAGGGTTTCAATTGCTGTAAAGAGATATCATGACCATGGTAACTCTTTTTTTTTTTTTTTTTTTTTTTGAGATAGGGTTTCTCTGTTATCCTTGGCTGTCCTGGAACTCACTCTGTAGACCAGGCTGGCTTAGAACTCAAAGAGATCTTCCTGCTCTGTCTCCGGAGTGCTGGGATTAAAGGAGTGCACCACTGACACCTGGTGACCATGGCAACTCTTATAAAGGAAAACATTTGATTGAGGTGGCAGCTAATGGTTTCAGAGGTTCAGTGCATTATCATCATGGTGTGACATGGTGGCAGCGTGCAGGCAGACATGGTGCTGGAGTAGTAGCTAAGAGTTCTACATCTTGCAGGCAACAGGATGTGAACTGAGACACTGGGTGGTATCTTGAGCATATATGAGACTCAAAACCCACCTCCACAGTGACACACTTCCTCCAACAAAGCCACACTTCCTAATAGTGCCACTCCCTTTGGGGGCCATTTTCTTTCAAACCACCACATACAATGATTTTTATTTTTTATGCTATTATTTTTTATTCTTCTCTCATACTTCCCAACCTCATTTTCCCCTCCTTTCACTCCTCCCAGCCCCTCCACCACCCCCATCCACTCCTCCTATATTTCCCTTTGAAAAAAGATTAGGCCTCCCAGGGATATCAACTGAACAGCGGATAACATGTTACAAAAAGACTAGGCACAAACCGTCATGTCAAGGCTGGATGAGGCAACTCAGTAGGAGGAACGTGTCCTAAGAGCATGCTGAGTCAAGAGACACCCTCCCTCCCACTGTTAGGAGTCCCAAAGAGCACCCAGCTACATAACCGTAATGCATATGCAGAGGACCTAGTTCACACTCACACAGGTCCTATGATTGTCAATTCAGTTCCTGTGTCCCCTGCTTAATTGATTCTGTGGCCGGTGTTCTCATGGTCTCCTCAACCCCTCTGGCTCCAGCAAGCCTTTGTTTGGCTGTGGGTCTCTGCCTCTGCTCTCATCGGTTGCTGGATGACACCTCTCTGATGACTGGGGCTATGTACCTATCTATTAGTATAGCAGAGTATCATTAGGAATCATTTCACTCAATTTTTTTCCTGTCATGTTTGATTCTATCCTGGGTCTCTGGGCTGTCAAGCATCTGGTTCCTGGCCACCCAGGGAGTGTCAGGTGTGGGTTCCCTCTTATGGCATGGACCTCAAGTTGGACCAGTCATTTGTTGGCCACTCCCACAAGTTCGCACCAATACCCTAGCACATCTTTCTGGCAGGGCAGATAGTAGGTCAAAGGTTTTTGGCTGGTTTGGTGTCCCAGTCCCACTTGGAAGCCTACCCTGGCTATAGAAGATGGCCAGTTCAGACTCCACATCTCTCACTACAAGGGTCACTCTCACAGATCCCAAGGAGTTTCCTCACCACCCTCAAAATGCCCCCCAATTCCAATGATATCTCCCAGGACTCTCCCTCCCTCACCCCACCTCTACTGTATCCCTTCGGTTCCCATCCCCACCAACCCATAGTCCACTCACAAAATCTGTTCTATTTCTCTTTCCCAGGGAGAGCCACTAACACCACCTTGAGCCCTCCTTGTTCCTTAGCCTCCTGGGTCTGTGGATTGTATGGCACGGTTATCCTTTACTTAACAGCTAATGTTCACTTGTAAGTGAGCATGTTTGTCTTTCTGGGTCTGGGTTACCTCACTCAGGATGATTTTTTTTTTCTGGTTCTATCCATTTGCCTTCAAATACATTTTTTAAAAAACATTTCTTTGTGTAAATGTACCACATTTTCTTTATCCATTCTTCAACTGAGGGGCCTCTAGGTTGTTTCTTGCCATGCTTTCCTCGGTGAACTGTTATAAACCAGCCCCAATTAAATGTTTTCCTTTTTAAGAGTTGCCTTGGTAATGGTGTCTCTCCACAGCAATAAAACCCTAACTAAGACACTATAGAATAGGGCAATAATATTCTTGACACCACTTGTGTTGGATAAGTATGGAGAAGAATGGAACTGGACCTTTACCTTGTACATACAGAAATATCAAGTCAAACAGACTAGCTAGTAAAATCTACTATCTGAAGCTATAAAACATCTGGAAGAAAAAGTTGAGAAAAAAACCTTCCCTAACATTGATGCTATTTTTTTTTTAACACATATAACATCAAACCACAAAGAATTTTTAAAAAATCGTACATGTGGGCTGGAAAGATGGCTCAGAAGAGCACTGACTGCTTTTCCAGAGGTGCTGAGTTTAATTCCCAGCAACCACATGGTGGCTCATAACCATCCGTTATGAGATCTGGTGCCCTCTTCTCAAGAGTACAGATATACATGGAAGCAGAATGTTGTATACATAATAAACAAATAAAATCTTTAAAAAAATATTTGGCAGAACACAGTGAAAAATTAAAAAAAAGAAGTGTGTCTTGTCTGTTACCATTAAATTGGAAACAATAAAAACATCAGAACCATTAAAAAATATTAAAAAATTGTACGTGTGATTACATCAAGCTAAAAAAAAAAAAAAACTTCTTGGAAAAAGAAACATGAACTAGATGAAAACAACTTACAAATCAAATATAAAGGTTGCTACCCAAGATATTAAGGAAGAAAACTGGGGCAGTAACACCAGGTGGAGGTGAGGTAGGGCTCGCACTCGAGAAAACCAGCAGCTAAAACCTGCACCGGCTTTGGGCGGTGCCAGAAGCGCTTGGCTTTGAAAGCGTGAAACGGGAAATCCTGAGTGGGCGGGGCCGTGCGGGGGATGCTGGGTGGGCACCGGAAACGAGGTTCCTGAGAGAACCAAGAGGGGACCCCGTGGGCCTTTGGGGTCCAGAATGGGCGGGGACAATCGTGTGGGCGGGACCGCCCCCACGGCTCCAGGCGCCTGAGGACAGGTCATTAGGGAGCGACGGCGGGCGCTTGCCGCCTGCTACGCATTTCCTGTGCGCTGGAGCCGGTGAGGCACTCTGGGAGGCGGTCTTTGACATTCGGAAGGAGGGCTCGGCTCGCCGCTTCCTCCCCTCCTGCGGGTACGCCAAGTTTCCGGCCACCTCGGTCCAGCGGCTGGGCAGGATGCGGCTGGGCTCCGGGGCCTTCGCTGCCAGCTGCGTAGCGATTGAGGTGATCGGGGTCGCGATATTTATTCGGGGATTCTTCCCGGCTCCCGTTCGTTCTTCTGCCGGACCAGAGCACGGTGTAGAGACCCCTGCGCCCGAACCCATGGCAGGTACCCACCCCTTCCCCGGGGTCCTCGCTTTCATTCTGCCCCACCCCCGAGACAGCTCGTACTGCTGAGCATCGTCTCCGTGTCATACCGCAGTCACCGACCCTAACCCTAACACTTCCTCTGGGATACTCAGAGGAAGCCCGGAGCGACTCTGGCTCCGCATCTCATTTGCTGCTTTACACTGATCCCTTTTCCTAAAAATCCTTTCAGTCACTTCTAATTTAGGTTGGTTCCTAGTTCTAACCGATAGTACACGGCAGGTAATATTTCTTCAGACCCCTACAGTTTTCTTTTTTCTCTTTCTTCTCTCTCTCTCTCTCTCTCTCTCTCTCTCTCTCTCTCTCTCTCTCTCTCTTTCTCTTTCTTTATTTATTTCTTGTTTTTCGAGACAGGGTTTCTCTGTGTAGTTTTGGAACCTATCCTGGCACTCGCTCTGGAGACCAGGCTGGCCTCAAACTCACAGCGATCCGCCTGCCTCTGCCTCCCGAGTGCTGGGATTAAAGGCGTGCGCCACCAACGCCCAGCCAGACCCCTACAGTTTTCTACTACTCCCCAGTACACCTCCCCTACCCCGGGTAGTTAAGGCCTCTCTGCTTTAGAATTTTTACTGTCCTCACCCTATACAGAAATAAATACCGGGTAAAAACTCTGCTGCTGTGAAACAGGTCCACCCACATAAACCAGTCACTGGACATGTAAACAGTTTGCAAATCCACCATTTCACTACCGGCAAGGCTATGTTTTAGGCCAAGGTGAGAGGAGCACTGGTCCCAGCTGTAGATCTCTTACAGAGAGGCTTCCCTATCCTGGACTCTTCACTGTGCTAAGAGCAATTCACTGTATATTACTGGGATATCTACTCATTGTTAACATACACTCCAGCCTAGCCCAGAGATGCCTCTTTTGGTAGCCTGACATCTGCGGATTAGGAACAACCCTTGTTGTCCTCTGTTAGAAAATTAACTCAACACTGGCTACCAAAAATGGGCCTTCTTATGTCGGGCGTTGGTGGTGCATGCCTTTGATCCCAGCACTCTGGAGGCGGAGACAGTCGAGTTTGAGACCAGCCTGATCTACAAGAGCTAGTTCCAGGACAGCCGCCAAAGCAATACAGAGAAACCGTGTCTTGGAAAAAAAACACAAAGGTGGGGGGCGGGGGTGCTTCTTTCAGGTTGAGCTAGATATGTGCTAGAAGAACAAGCAAGAAAGACACGGGAAGGCAATTGAGTACTAAATAAAGTTTAAAACTTAATCTCCCTTTTTCTAAACACTTTTAGGAGCCAGTTCTAACTGGACCAAGCTGCCATCACCTCTCTTCAATAAAGTTGTTATTGTGCTGATAGATGCCTTAAGAGATGATTTTGTGTTTGGGTCAAAAGGTGTGAAGTACATGCCTTACACAACTTACCTGGTAGAAAAAGGAGCATCTCATAGTTTTGTGGCTGAGGCAAAGCCACCCACAGTTACTATGCCTCGAATCAAGGTACATTTAACTTAGTGTTTTATGAGTCATGGTTTGGCTCTTTTGAAAGTTGAGAGAGATTATCTAATCTACTTTGAGACCCTATTTTAATAACATGGAAAGTATTTTTATGTTGTCGGTTTTACTGGGGCAGTGGGATGCTGAAGGAACCCAATAATAAGATGGAGCCATCTTTTTTACCCCTTGTTTAAGTAGCCAGAGTTCATACTTCATGGAAAGGAGGAAGAATTTAGAGCCAGATTGTCCAGGCCACTGTAGTCCAAGAGATACCTTTCTCTTTGGTAGCCTGGTGTTTTCCTTAGTCATCGGGCTTGAGGGATATTCAGTCTAGCTCATAAATTGTATACATGAGAAAACAAACTCAGGTTAAATTGCTTGTAGAAATTATACAAAATGATCAAACAGATATAAACTGGCCTCAACACTTGTTTCTTCTACTACATAATTGTATACTTTGGTGAGGGTAGTTTTGAAGTGCACAGTGCTTTACCCAAGAATTGTGGCTTGAAGACTACTTACTGAGTGACTGCTGAGTGATTTGTATTTACATATTTAGCTAGTGATAAAACCCAACAGTAGAGTATTTGCCTAGTATATGTGTAGCACTGAGTTCAAGCCCTGGAGCCTAAAAATGAAGTTTGCATTTATTTGCCACTGAAGAAATCTTATGAGAATTCTGTAGGCATTACAAAGATTCCTGTTCCCTTTAACCACAAATCTATGGCTCTTATCTTAGGTGGTGGTATAACTCTAAATCATGAAGATTCATTATTATTACTGTGGCCTGGTAGGTCTGTGATAAAAGTGGGGAGAGTATTGACTCCACTCTATATCAGAAAGATAGGATTATCTGACACCGACCATCTATTACATGGTGCAACGCTGTCGGTGGGATCTAATGTTCTATTGACATTCCTGGCCCAGATCACTTTAAGAATTATATATGGGCAGTGTTTCCTCCTACTTTTTAAAAAAACTGAGAGACAGATATTAGATTTGCTGGATTATTAGGGTTTGTTTGTTAGAGTTAATGAGCTTGCTTGTCCCATAGAGCAAGTTAAATCTCATGTGGAACCCTGACAAAGGGTCTGAGTATACAGATTGATTTTTTTAATGTATAGACATATACATTAGCATTAACTGTCATTAACCCATAGCTTCTGTGACTGGCAGTGTGTCTAGCTATTATTATCTCCTCCTCTACTATCTTAACCAATGAAAGGAGTGCCTGAACCATGTTCATTAAATAATCAAATCTTCATTATTGAGTTTGATGTTTTTGTCCAAAATCTGTGTCCTATCTTACCCACTATGTTTGACTAAGTCTCCAGTACCCGGCCTACTGTAGGTCTGTACCCATCTGTTTGACCCCTAAGTGATCTTACTGTCTTCTGTGCTGTAATTTTGGGTCTGTGATCTAAGTCTTGAATGTTTCTTCCTGCAGGCATTGATGACAGGGAGTGTCCCTGGCTTTGTTGATGTCATCAGGAACCTCAATTCTCCTGTGCTCCTAGAAGACAATGTGATAAGACAGGGAAAAGCTGCTGGGAAAAGAATGATCTTTTATGGAGATGAAACATGGCTTAAATTATTCCCAAAGCATTTTGTGGAATATGATGGAACAACATCATTCTTTGTGTCAGATTACATAGAGGTCAGCCTGATACTACCATTTTCCACTTAGAGGTGATGCTATTTCCTGTGTGATATTTACTAACTTATGGAGTGGTATGGCAAGATTGTAAGATTTACATAATCAGTTATAAGTGGAGACATAAAGCCTGTTGCAGGTGTGAACCAAGGTATGTAGGCTCCCAAATGGAAAATGGGTAGATGTTGAGAGCACAGTCAGGAAGAGTGCCACAGCAGAAGAGCTAAATCACTGAATGAGTGAGGATTCTCCACATGGCCAAAAAGAGGGGCAACAATGTTATAGCAGTCCAGTGCCAACCTGCAGTTCTGTAACTGTTTGGATCTACAGGGGTACAGAGCCTTTCTATGAAGGCTTACAGTAGGCAAATAGAATCTTATCCTGAGAGGTATCTGCCTGTGCTGGGGTGCAGGCTCCAGCAAGAGAAAGAGGGGTTAGATCCAGGTGTGTGAAGGTTGGGCCTGAGGCAGAAGTGAAAATACACGAGAGTTGATCTGTTTAGATCAACAGAATAAGAATTAAGAATCTCTGCTTAGTCCTTGAGTGTGTATAGTTTTGCTGATAACTTTTCTAGGGTGATATACCTTTCCACACTTCACCAGGGCAGGCACAGCGTGACTTTTCTGTAGTAACAAGTTTTCATGCTATGTATGTATTTCTTTGTGGTACATGTTTCAGTGAGGGGGAAATGGGCTCTCTGAAGACTCAGGGCTAAGCAGACTACTGGCCCTATCAGGAGCTGTTTACCTGCTCACAGAGTCATAATGTTGCTTCAGAATGGAGATAAAAGCTGTTTTCTTCCTTCCAAGAGTAGCCTTTATGTAGGACTGTTACTTATTCCTGACTGTACTGTACTGTCTTGGTTGGCTGCCCTTCATTATCCATAAACAGGCTTCTTGGGCCTGCTTAGCTTGCTGATTTGTTCAGCTTTAGTGAAGACAAGCAATGATCCCATGGGTGTGTAGGGGTGGTGTGGGTGGTGGGGGTGTGTGTATTCCAGAATAGCTTTTGCTCCTTTAAATTATCTGTATAATAGGTTTTGTTCACAAACTAGAGATATTAAAAAGAATAGGCATAAGAGCTTAGTCTAATACTAATACTCATTTTTTAAATGACTTCAGGACCTTTTTTTTTTTTTTTTTTTCAATTTTCATGAGTCCTATTACCTAAGATTGACTCCTGGTAATCCAGGAAAGCTTGGATGCACTGTTTATATGTACGTCCTCCCTCCTTGTTCCCCCTTTGAAGGTGGATAATAATGTCACAAGACATTTGGATAAAGTATTACAAAGAGGAGACTGGGATGTGTTAATCCTTCACTATCTAGGGCTGGATCACATTGGCCACATTTCTGGACCTAACAGCCCTCTGATTGGTCACAAGCTCAGCGAAATGGACAGTATCCTGATGAAGATTCACACTTCACTGTTGTCGAAGGTAAGGCTTACTGTGCTACACTGCATAGTGATCAGATTTCATGTTGCCAATATTTCCTAGAAGGAACAGAAATGGCTGAGAGAGCACTACCCATTGTCTGTCAGCCAGTCATGCTTCTGCCACGGGCACCTTCTAGATCAATGTTCCTTGGTTGGAAACGATTTGTAGAGTTACATTCTAGCCAGGAGGGAAACATGAGTAGTACAGTAAACAATGTAAGTGTGCCAAAAACTAGTTGCTATCTCAGGAAAACACAGGTAAGAGGAACCAACCCCTGTACTAAGGAGAGTCTATAATTTTTTTTTAAATATTTATTTAACTTTTATTTTATGTGCATTGCTGTAAGGATACCAGATCCCCTGGAACTGGAGTTATAGACAGGTATGAGCTGCCATGTGGGTGCTGGGAATAGAACCCTGGTCCTCTAGAAGAGCAGCCACTGCTCTTAACCACTGAGCCATCTCTCCAGCCCTGAGAGTCTATAATTTTAAATGGTATATTCAGGACAGTCGTCGTCCTGGAAGAGTATTCCATGTGAACAGACACTTGAAGGGAGGAAGGGACAGATTCATACTATTTGTGCATGTGTGTCAGGTAGGGTCAAGAGCCTGCCCAGTTCTACTGAAGCAGGTTAGATCAAATGGCTGGAGCGCTGGGCCAAGAAAGCCCACGACCTGTTTAGTTCATTCTCTGGATTCTATGCATTTCTCTTTAAACAGTCCTGTAAAATAAATGCCTCTAGTATCTCTCTCAATAGGAAACTTAGGCAGGAGGAATCATGTGCCTACAGCCTGGAAATGACAGATACCCTGCTGTCAGAGGTCATAAACACAATCATTATGTACTCTGTGAGCTATGTATTGTTCTGTCTTCACCTGTAACACCATTTGACTTGGCCCTTTGATCTGACTGTAAGCTTATTGGAGAAGATGAAATGCATTAAGGAGAAAATCCTATTTAGGAACTATAATGAAGTTCTACAGTTGTTTCCTTTGCAAGACCATATATGTTTTGCCAGACAAGTACAGCTGACAGGTTCTTCTTTGTCTTACAGGAGAGAGAGACTCTCTCACCCAGTTTGCTGGTTGTCTGTGGTGACCATGGGATGTCTGAGACAGGGAGCCATGGGGCCTCTTCTACAGAGGAAGTAAGCACACCTCTGATCTTAATCAGCTCTGCATTTGAAAGGAAACCTGGTGAGAATTAGGATTGATTAATATTTTAATTTTGTTTTGTTTTGGTTTTGAGACAGGGTTTCTCTCCGTAACAGCCCTGGCTGTCCTAGAGCTCGCTCTGTATACCAAGCTGGCCTCCAGCTCACAGAGATCTGCCTGCCTCTGCCTCCGAGTGCTGGGATTAAAGGTGCCTCTGCCTCCGAGTGCTGGGATTAAAGGTGTACGCCACCAGCCCCTGGAGATTAACATTTTAAAACTATAGTTTGGTATAAGTTATCCCAAACAATGTGAAATAAAAATTAAAGGGGATTTGGGCAGTCAGGATTTATAATTCACATTCTTTCCTCTGACTCTCAAAAACATTTCCATAAGAATTCTATTGCAGGAATATTGCTTGTCTAGGTATAGAACTCCTCAACATATGCCTCGGGCTGCTGAGATGTCTCAGTCGGTAGGGAAACTGGTGGCCAAGCATGACTGTTTGAATTCCATCTCTGGGACCTACCTGGTGGAAGGAGAGAAATCACTCCTACAAGTGCCCTCTGACCTGGCATGCATGTGCCCATACATGTATACATATATACACAAAATAAATACACAAATGAATAAGTGAGTAAATATAATTTTATTTTCTTTCCTTTTTTTTTTTTTTGAGACAGGATTTCTCTGAGTAGCCCTGACTGTCCTGGAACTCACTCTGTAGACCAGCCTGGCCTTGAACTCAGAGATTCACCTGCCTCTGTCTCCTGAGTGCTGGGATTAAAGGCGTGCACCACCACTGCCTGGCTATAAATATTTTAAAAAATGTAAACATGCCAGCAGCTGATATTTAAATGTTTTTAAAAGTGCTCACTATTAGCTGGGTGGTGGAGGCACATGCCTTTAATTCCAGCACTCGGGAAACAGAGGCAGGTGGATCTCTGTGAGTTTGAGGCCAGCCTGGTCTTCAAAGAGAGTTCCAGGACAGTCTCCAAACCTATAGAGAAACCCTGTCTCGAAAAACAAAAACAGAAATGCTCACTATTTAAAATTGTATGATGACAGCAGAGAGATCACAATGGACTAGCTAAGGCCCCATTCCTAATACTCTGTTTAACCTGCACCTGACTCACCTGGCCTGTCTTATCCCCTCCCCCACCACCTCACAGCTGCATGCCCATCTGCCACCACAAGACTAAAACATGGCTACAGTAGTGTTTCTGCAGTAAAACTGACACCTGTAAGATGCTCTCTGGTTCTGGTCCTGTAACCAGAGTTACAGGAGTAACTCTGTGAGTGCAAAGCCAAAACAAGTGCAGGCAGGACATGAAGGAGTAGAGAAAGATGTACCTGCAGTTGGCAAGATCGTGAGAGTCATTTCCAACACAATGATCTTTTGGACAGAGCAGAGGTTTTAGTTAGGGAACCTATACATATTCACATAGAGAGGTTGGCCTCTTATAAACATGCTCAATTAAAGAGTACATTCCTACTGGCTGATTTGGTGGCGCATGCCTTTGATCCTAGCACTCGGGAGACAGAGGCAGGCAGATCTCAGTTCAAGGCCATCCTGGTCTGCAGAGTGAGTTCCAGGACAGCCATGGAGGTTACACAGAGAGGCTCCGTCTCAAGAAACTTTAAAAAAGTTGTACACTCCTGAGCATGTTTAGTTTAATGTCACATTTTGATCTATGCTTAAAGTCATGAAACAGTATGTAAAAGATTAAAGGGATGGGCGGAAATTTCTCTCAGTATGCTCATCTTATACCATGAGGTTTTTAAAATAAAATTTTTTAAATTGAAATTATATAATACCCCCTCCCTTTTCTTTCTTCAATCCCTTCCATGTACCTTTTGCTTGTTCGCCCTTGAGATAAATTGTGGTCTCTTTTTCCTCATTGTTTTACCCCCCAAAAGAAAAAAAATGTGTGTGTGTGTGTGTGTGTGTATACCTGAGCAGTCTGTTTAGCGTTATATATACCTATATAATCTGAAGGCTGACCACTTGGTATTGGATAGCCCGTTAGGGGGCTCATCCCCAGAGAAGACTTTCTCCCCCGAGCATTCTTTAGTTGCCTGTAGTTCTTTTCTGTGGAGGCTGTGAGATCTACTCCTTCCATGTTAGCATGTCTATTGGTGTTCTACTTGTTCAGGTCTTCTTTAGGCTGCCATATTGTTGAGGTGTTATGGGTGCAGGCTCCTTTCTAGAAGACACAATATTATGGCAAATTTCCTGATCCTTGAACTCTTACAAGTTTTCAGCCTTCTCCATGAAGACATTTCCTGAGCTTTAGGTGCAGGAGTTACGTTGTGGATGTATCCATTGCATCTGGGCACCCCTTGTTGCCGGCATTTTGACCAGTTTTCTAAAATGGTCTCTATCTGTTACAAAGAGAAGTCTTTGATGAGTGGTGAGAGCTACATTTATTTGTGTGTATAAGAATAAATAAATATTTAGGATGCATTTAGGAATTTCCCCGGCTTAGTAAAGTGGTGTTATTAAGTTCTCTTCTAAAATCCATGACCCCACTAGCCCTGGAGAGTTGGTTAGTTTTCCAGTACCAGGCATGATTTCCATCCTGTTGAATGGGCCTTAAATCCAATTAGAGAGCTGTTGGTTACAACTAATATATGAGGCCACTATTGCACTCTTAGGATTATCCTGCTGTATTGGTCATCATAGGTTGTCAGAGTAGTTCATAGGCAGTACAGCTGGGTAGAACGTTTGATTGCTTCCTTAGTGGTGCCCTTGTATGCTGCTGTCTCTATTGCTGTCACCAAGCTTGGAAGTTCCATTCTTGCCACCTGATTGCTCTTTGGTTTGTGAGTCAAAAATAGGTGAGAGATGGCCTATTTTTACCTTGGGTGGGCAGACACTCACTCCATTGTAGATGGGGTGGGTGATAGGGCTGCATTCCTGCTGACACCCTTGTGGAATTACTGTCTTCTGGAACCTGGGGTTGGGGCAGGGGAAGGGAGGTTACAGGTTCATGTGCCACAGACTCTTAAATTTCTTACAAAACTGTCATGAATGAATGCTTCTTCATTTGATAAACACTCTTAGATAATTTCCAGGCTGCTGTTTTTGTGAAGTTTGGATGATTTGCCATGTGATCTCAGAGACTGCTCGTCCTGAGTCTTCAGGCCCAGTGGGAAGCATAGGTGTGGGTCACTCCAGGGACTGTGGAAGAATAACACACCTCCCCTGGACCACCATAGGGTAGAGCAAATATATTGGTTTGGCTGACATACCACTAGGTAGGACTTGGCCTGTTTCATGAACTTGTTTTGTCTTCTAAGCCTATAAAAATGGTGCCTGACATCTTTTTCATCAGTATTTGTTTATTAAAGATTTAAAAGATTGCTGAATTAGGGGTGTCATGGTGCAAATGGAAGCGTATGTGCATAGTGGAAGAACTGGGAATAGTTCTGCAAAAGACTGTAGAATAAAGTCCTTTGTACCATGTTCACATTGCAAAGCTATAGCTGCTAAAATAGTTTGTGCTGGCAAGATTGGTCAGGCCTATCAGTGGAGGAAAATAGAGAGGTTAAAAATAGATTCCAGCATAAAGGATTTGTTGATAATAGTGACATCTCACATTAATGAAAAAAGACAGGACCCTCAATACATGATGTTAGCATAGTTGGGCTGCCCAGGTAACCTTATGGTAAGCAGTAATGCTGGTTACCCAGCTCACTTTTTAAACTAATATAAATCCCAGACCCAAACATTTTAACCTTTTGAAAAGATTCTTTATTGTGGAGAATTTCAGACCTGTTAAAGGTTCACCCAACTTCAATAGTTACCATCTAGCCATAGCTTGTCCTATTCCATCTGTGCACACCCTTGTTTTTCTTGTTATTTAGGATCAGACCTCACAACCACAAATATGCACTTTCTCCACATGATCCTGGTTCTATTTCTACATTTTAAAAATGTCATTAATTCCTTAATATCATCAAATAATGTTAGATTTCCAGTGTCTCTCTCTCTTTAGTTGTCTTAATTTGTTCGAGTTAAGATCCATACACTGTGATGTATCAGTGTGTCTCCTAGATCCCTGTTAACTTGTAAGTTCCCAACTCTTTTTTGTTTTAATAAATTTTTTATTTGTATTTTATGTCCATTGGTGTTTTGCCTGCATGTATGTCTGTGTGAGGGTATCGGATCCCCTGGAACAGGAGTTATAGACAATTTTGAACTGCCATGTGGGTGCTGGGAATTGAACTCCACATCCTCTGGAAGAGCAGCCAATGCTCTTAACAACTGAGCCATCTCTCCAGCCCCCCAGCTCTTTTAATACCATTTATTTGCTGAAAAAAAAAAAATCAAATTGTCTGTGGAGTCCCCTGTGATCTGGATTCCCCCAAACCAGTCTAGCTATATGACAACTGACCTCCAATCTAACTCTCAGTCTTCCGCCTCAGCCTCCACAATCTCCCAAAATAATGCTGCCTGCTGAGAACCAAGAGTTCAAGTGCACAAGCCTTGTAGGAGGGTATGTTTTTATTCAAACTATAACACTGGACTTTATTGTAATGTTAGCAGTCATTGATGACCAGCTAGGCCTGGTTTAAATCCATTATTTTATATTACTTAGCTAATACTGTGGTCTGTTTATGCTATTCTAACAGAGCCACAGAGATATGATAATTTATAGAGAAAGGAATTGATCTCTTGCTTTTCTGCAGGCTGGGAAGTACAAGGTCCAAGTGTTAGAATCTGGTGAGGTTTGTTCCCTTCTTCCAATATGATGCCATAATTACTTGTCCCTGGAGGGAATGGACATTATATCCCCATGTGACAGAAGATACATGGGTAAAGAGGGTGAGATTCTTTTTAACAGGCCATTTTATAGTGGTACTAGGGCTCATGAGTTGATACCTGGCAAAAGGCACCACCTCCCAACACCAGTACATTGGAGATTAAGTTTTCATCACAAACATTTTGGGAGAACATGCCAGGCAGTGGTGACACACACCTTTAGTCCCAGCACTCGTGAGGCAGAGGCAGGCGTATCTGAGTTTGAGGCCAGCCTGGTCTACAGGGCGAGTTCCAGGACACCCAAGGCTACACAGGGAAACCCTGTCTTGAAAAACCAATAAAATAAAAATAAATATTAAAAAATTGGGAGAACATTAAAACAAGATCAGCAAGAATAGTTTTATAAAGAAAATGCTCGGGGTGGAGAGATGGCTTAGAGGTTAAGAGCTCCGACTGCTCTTCCAGAGGTTTCTGAGTTCAATTCCCAGCAACCACATGGTGGCTCACAAACCATCCATTATGAGATCTTGTGCCCTCTTCTGGTATGCAGATATACACGGAAGCAGAATGTTGTATACATAATAAATAAATAAAAATCTTTAAAAAAAAAAAAGAAAATGCTCCTGTTTACTTTGGATTTCCCAGTGATATTAGAGACAAAATGAATTATTTTTCCCCATATCATCAGTTTCAAATCAATTAATAACTCATTATCCTTCAAGTATAACCAGTTAAACTTGTTCAGTTTTTAGTAATATTATGAAGTTATGAGTTAAGCATACTGATTTGTTTCTATTCATTATAATTACTAATCTTTTTTTCCCCATATCTTTGGCCAGTGGAAGCATCTTCATATTAATTCCCAAGTCCTTTAGGCAAGATCTCAATGGTCTCTCATCCCTCTCTTGCCCTCTGAACAGTGCCCCTAGCTGTCATGCCTTTGTCTTTCTCAGGGCTCAATTAGCTTCCCCAGGGTACCCTGATCCTTCACGTAGAATTGGTTGTATATACTGTCTCAGAGCTAGAAGTATGAACTTATGCTGGGTCCTGTTAGATTTCTGGACAGAACAAGGAAATCTTTGTTGCTTTATTGTTGTTGTTTTTCGAGATAGAAGTCTATATACCCTCGCTGTCCTAGAACTCACTCTGTAGACCGGGCTGACCTCAAACTCAGAGATCTGTCTGCCTCTGCCTCCCAAGTGTGCGCCGCTACCACCTGGTGGAAATCTTTTAATATAAGGTAATCTTGAGTTTGAATTGATACTTCCAGCTCACATTCAGAACTATGAAATTTCCTCTTTAGGTCTGGCTTCTGCTTTCTTTTGCCTGAGCTTAGAGTCCTGGTTATCAGTATTTGGTGGAGTTAGAACCTCACATGGAGTATACTTATGTCATCCCACAGTAAACATGCATCAGTCTTAGAAGAGTATCTGATGAAATGAAGTAAATTTGTGTTGTATGTGCTTCTGTTTCACATTTCTTTTTCAGCTCCAAACAGTGTTAAGCCTTGTAAACCTGGTCTGGTGCTTCTGGGGTGAGGTAGGGTGAGATTAGGGGTCACATTCTTTACAGATGAGAAATCTCTACTAGGTTACTTTCACCCAAGGTTGTTTGGTGTACCAGGGCCCTGCACTTGGTGTCTGAACACCACAGCCATTCTTCCTCTTAAGGAGCTGGCATTGCAGGCAGCTACTGAAAGCTTGAAAAGATTGTGTGGACAGGCAGGATCTTACTTCTTCATTGTCCTAGTCAATGGTCATACCTGCTCAGCTGAGCCCAGCCTCATCCTGCTTCCTAGGTAAGATCCAGGAACCACTGCTAATCCTAACTCATGTAGACTTGACATCATCCAAGTGACCATTCCTTAGCCTCTGCTTAACTACTTGTCACTTCCATGTACAATGCTACAATCACAATAACTAATTTTTTAAATTAGAGTCTATCCAGCAGATTATAAGTCATTTAAGGGAAGGTAATACTTGGTAAATTTATTGACATAAAAAGCAAGAAGGTGGTTTCTGTGTGACTTTTTAGTTGAGTGGTTTGAAGACATGGTAGTTTTGACTTACATTAGCTGAGGTGCTTAAATTCAAGAATAACTACCATTTTCTACCTTGTAGAAATCTATTGCTTAAAATGTTTTCTTTTTTCCAGGGGATGTTCGTCACCCAAAGCATGTCCAGCAGACTGACTTGGCTGCAACACTAGCAATAGGACTTGGTGTGCCGATCCCTAAAGACAGTGTAGGGAGCCTCTTATTTCCGGTTATAGAAGGAAGACCGATGAGAGAACAACTGAGATTTTTACACTTAAACACATTACAGCTTAGCAAACTATTGCAGGAAAACATACCGTCCTATGAAAAAGGTAATATAATTGTAGTTCTAACTTCTATAAGGTCTTCATGATTCAATGGATCTTATGTTTTCCTGGGGTGTGATTTGTCATTCAATACTTTGTAGTTGTCACTCTTTAATTATGAATGTAATGTTCCTGTTTTCTTTGGCCCTTAACGGTCATTATTAGCAACACCACAAATATAATTAAGCTATTTGAAATGTTTTATACATTTAGTAATTCAGCAAGCATTTATCCAGTTTTTGTTTATGAACAAGGGACACCATATTAAAAGTACTGGAGATGAAGCATCGGGATCTCTGTTCTCACAGAATCTTTCAGCATGAAGAAAACAAAAGTATTGTGATAGATGACAGACGGTGACCAGAACCGTGGGAAATGATGGGGGCATAGGCGGGTTGGTATTCTAAGACAAGCCTGGCCTTAGAGTTAAGAGGTAGCTATATAGCCTGAGGGTCAGAGGTCCTGGAGATGAGGTCAGAAATGTCATCAGAGGGCTTTTAGACATTAGATGAGCTTTCACTTTTGTCTAGGTGAAGGAGGATATGACAGAGTTTTCTGGGTTTTCAAAGGTTCTCCCAGCTTCCCTCTGGGAGTTCTGCCTTGTACTTTAGCAGAGCAGGCAAGAAGCAGAGACAGTGTTTAGGTGAGAGGTGAGGCAGCATGGGTCCTGCATGGTGATGGAAATTAGAAGTAGTTGCATTGTAGATGTGCTTTTGGAGGTGGCAAACAATATTTTCTGGTATAGTGGGGTATAAGGTGTAAGGCCAAAGGAACCACTCCAGGTTTCAGCTGTACGGTGAAAGGACAGGGGACCATGCAGTAGCTAATGTGCAAGGCAGGAGCTAATGTGCAAGGCAGGGGTCTTGGTTATTTTTCTGTTTCTGTGATAAGACATCATGACCAAGGCCACTTATAGATTATTTGGGACTTAGAGTTTCAGAGGCTTAGAGTCCATGGCAGCAGCAGGCAGGCAGGCATGGTCCTGAGAGTTTACTTCATGGTCTACAAGGTTGAGAGAGAGAGCTAACGGGATGTGAGTGGCCTTGAAACCTCAAAGCCATCCCAGTGACACCTCCAACAAAGCCACACCTTCTAATCATTTCTAAACAATCCTACCAGCCAGGGACCAAGTATTCAAACATATGAGCCTAGGGGTCTACTCTCATTCCAACAGCAGGGTATCAAGAGACTCAGGGACATTAGGCAGAAAGTTATGGAAAGAGAATTTAAGTAAGCAGAAAGTAAGCATCTGTGTTGATGCTGTAAAATTAAGGGGAATTGGGAACTAAGTATTGGTTCTGAGGATATGGAGTCATTAGTGATTGCTGGAGTAGCTCCTGTGATGGGGACAGCCTGGGTAGAATGGGTACAGGTAGACTGTGGTCTAAGCAGATGTTTGTCTGTAAGCTGGAGACACTAAGAGCAGTTTCTATGCCAATAGGAATGATTCCAGGAGAAGTGTAAACCTCTGTGAGTCCCTGTATAGATACCTGAGTCTCACTTTCAGCTGATTTACTCTGGTATGTCCAGCATATCACAGACAAACACATCTGTCACTGGTCTCTTTCTGTGTGAGGTAGTATTTGGTCTGATACTGGCACGTTGTCTTCTTTAAGTTGTGATGTACAGCTAGTAGGGTTAGCAACATGAGTGGTAACCTGGGGAAACAGCCCTGCCTGCCCCTGGGGAATGACTGAGAGCCATGTACACAGGGGCAGGAAGGGTAGTTCAGGTGAGAAGTTTGTTAGGAGGAAGGCCTGGCTTCTTATACACATTTAGTTTTCAGTCTAGATTATATATAACTGTTATTCTTACTTTTTCCCCCCTAAAATAACTTTTAGGCTTGTAAGGTGTTCTTTTGAGGGGTGGGAAGGTGTTGGTTGGTTGGTTGGTTGATTGGTTTAGTTTGGGTTTTTTTGTGGTTGTTGTTTTAGGTATGGTGATGTTTTATTGTTTGATTTTGGTGGAGTTTTTTTTTTTTTTTTTTTTTTTTTTTTTTTTTTTTTTTTTTGTGCTGATGGTTAGTTTTAAACTACTGGGAATTGAACCTCATCCCTTGCATATACTAGGCAAATGCTCTATCACTAAACTACATCTCCAGGCCTATTTGGGTTTTATTTTGAGACAGTCTCACTGTTATTGAATACAAACTGCCCTTGAATTCTGTAGCTCAGGTTGGCCTTCAGTTAGTGATCCTCCTGATTCAGCCTCTTGAATAGCTGAGATTATTGGCATTCACCTCTAGGACAGGCATTACTTGGTATTTTTGCATATTTTGTTGTTCTAGCAAAATTGCCAACAAAAAACAGCTACTAAGGATTATTTGCTGTTTCAGAAATGTTAGGATAGAAAATAATTAGGAGCCATGTTAAATGGAAAGGAAACAAGCCTACAGGGGTTAGGAGACATTCTTGGGACCCTTCAATCATAGGAGGCTTTCTTGTGTCTACACCATCAGCACACTGAAAATCCCATAACAGGGCCAACAGAATCTTCCATTACATCTAGCCAAATCCGGTGCTTCTTGCCCTCTGTCTTTTAGTTCTGATGGAACAGCCTTTGTTTGTTTGTTTGTTTGTTTTGTTTTGTTTGCCTCAGGAACTCTGAACAAGATGTTCATAGTGACTGGATGTTCTTTCTGGTTAATTCCTGGGCATCCTTTACAGTCAGCTTATCAGACTGTCCTTGCCTTATATTCCTCTTCCAATCTAAAATCAATTATTCTCCATTACCAGAAACCCCTCCTATCATCTCTTTTTCTTTATAGCATATTTTGTGACTAAAAAAATTCTTTTATATGTATAGGTGTTTTCTTTCATGTGTATCTGTGTGTCCTGTGCATGCACTGTAGAAGCCAAAAGAAAAGAATGTTGGATCCCCTGGAACTGGAGTTATATATGGTAGTGAACTACCATGTGGGTCCTGAGAATCAAACCTGGATCCACTGAAAGAGCAACCAGAGCTCTTAACAGTCTCTCTAGCCTCCATTCTTCACAATTTGTTATCACATGTATTCATGCATACAACATAGTTTTTTGTTTACATTTGTTTGTATTTGTGAACACTTCTGAATCCAAGCATAAGCAGTCAGGAATTGTACCTGTTTATTTACCATCGTATTTCTTTTTTAAAAATTTACAATCCATTGTGTTTCTTATTCAAGATTCAGTATCTAGGACACAGTCAGTGCTTAGGAAGTGTTCATTTAGCTGCAATGAACAGGAACCCCAGGTTTCTGTGACTCATTTTATAGAGGCTGTAAGGTAGGTGTAACACAAATATCCTGTGTTTCTGGTTCATTTGTAGAAATGTGCAAAACTGTTGAGTATATACAAAGATAAGCCAGATCTTTGTAACTTACTCATAGAGGCTGTGGGTTATAGACACAGGTACTCTATGTCTTTATGACTCTTATGGAGGCTGTGGGATGTAGATAGTGGTACCATTAGGCTTGGCCCAAGTCTCTGTGGCTCTCTGGAAGATCACTGTGGAGACTTGGGGTACAGCTACAGACACCCTGACTTTGGCATGGTCAGCAGTGTGAGCACCAGCCTTTGATTTACTGTCAGTTTAGAGTAATGCTTTCCGTCACTCTCTCTGACCTGAGCAAATGCCTTAATTCTATCTCTATTTCGCATCTGGAGAACAGGCATAATTGTCTCATCCTTCCCTCATGGGTTGTTGCAGAAGTGAGTAAGCTGCTCAGATTGGTGCTGGCCAGTTTTTCTCTGTGCGAGTTAAGACGACCAGCAGTAAAGAGAGGTACAGCCTGAAATGCTCAGGCTCACATTAAAATTGTGTGCCGAACTCTTGTCCTCAGCAGTAGAATGCCTAGAGGGGTTCTTTTTCTGCCATGAAGGTGGAACATGAGTTGTGGTTGCAGATCACTGTGCAGCACTATTGGGGAATGAAGGCATCTTTGGCACTGCTGGAGTTTGAGGTGCATTTTAAAGAACAGAGCATCTCAGGAAGAAAAGTCTTGGTCTTTAGATCCATTTACTCACAAGCAAGCACAAACATAGTAAAGAATAATAACCAGGTCTGGAAAGAGGACTGTCGGCTCCTTGCTCCAGCAGCACACCATGCAGAGCTAGAGGAAGGGGTAGCCATGAGTGCGGGGCACATTCCATGCCAACGGCATCACTGGCCATTGTAAACAGGAGGAGGCTAGAGAATGCACTGCCTTAACAAGGAGGACTGTAAAGAAGGTTCTTAAGGAAGGAAGCGAGCATGAAGGCACAAGAATCAGCCTGTGCAGTGTATGGGCAGGGTTTGTGCTTATTTCTGCCTGTACTGTGTGTGCTGAGTCCCCATGTTGGCAGTGGTGAATGTACACCATCAGCTGTTACAGTATTACTGAAGTGTTGCTGACCCTTCCTACGTAGGAACAGATTGCCTTCATTAGGTATCAGTTCTAATGAATATGCCGGGAATAAGTGAATGTGGTAAGATTTTAAGTATGTTTAATCCTTCTTTCTAATAGATCCTGGATTTGAGCAGTTTAAAATGGCAGAAAGGTTGCATGGAAACTGGGTCAAACTACACTTGGAAGAAAACCATTCAGACATTCTGCTTGGCCTGGGGACCAAAGTACTCAGGCAATATCTGGGTGCCCTGAAGACCCTGAGTCTGTCTCTGAGCACACAAGTGGCTCACTATGACATCTACTCCATGGCAGTAGGGACTGTCGTGGTTTTGGAGGTACAGATGCTTGTGTTATCATGGTTTGGGTGTTAAACTGACTGTGCAACTCAGCCAAAACATGATGATTTTAAATTTATATATCATTACTGCTGGGCATAGTAGTATTTGTCGGTAATCCTAGAATTTAGGCTACTAAAGACAGGAAGGTGGCTAAGTCATGCCAGCCTGGGCTACAATAAGACTCTGTGTCTAAAAACATTGGTGTAACATGGAAAATAAGAATGCTCTTTATTCTTCCATTGTGGATCCTGATGTGTCAAATGACTGAATTCAGCATTACTATAAAAGATAAAACTATAAATCAAGCTGTACAGTTATACTAAGAAACTAAAAATAATTATCCCTTGGGTCCTTTTGTTGTTGTTGTTGTATGAGCAATGGGATGGGCTCATTTTGAGAATGCCTGGCCTTTCATAGACACCCTTGATCTTCTATTTCAGGTTCTCATCCTGTTTCTCCTTAGCACTCCACATGTGCTGTGCAGAAAGGCTGAGCTGGATGTTCCTCTGTTGTCTCCTGTGTTTTCTCTGCTCTTCTATATGATATTTCTGGTTCTTTCGGCCATTCATGTCCTGGTATGCACCTCATCCGAGAGCTCATGCTACCTCTGCAGCCTCCCATGGCTGGCAGCAGGAGGTGTGATGGTACTTGTTTCTGTGCTGCTCTGTGCAATTTTGTCTGCTCTTATCAGGATGGTTATCGATGGCACTCTGCTGAAGAAGGTAAGGCTGGTTCCTATTATATAAGTGGGCCTTATGGGTGGGCTTTTTGTTTTGTTTTGCCAGATAATCTTTCATTAGTAAGAAGCTGTTTGAAAATCTTGTGTGTACCAACCAGCATTGCAGTGCTGGAGATGTGGAAAGACCACACGCCTAATGGACTGCAGGAGAAGGACCCACACAGTCTTCCTAGGCCTACGATACTGTTGTGCAGTCAGGTCATGTGCTTTTATTCTCAGCTGTGAAGAGTTGGACCAGGACAGAGGTGATACTAGGGTTTCTAGATGTGAAAGACAGGGAACCCATGTACTTGAGTCTTAGAAAGGGTTTCTGAGCTGCAGCTGATGGACAGTAAACAGGTGGACACACAGGAGGTTCCCAGGGAAGGTTGGTCCCTATTGGTCTGTTCTGCCTCACCAAGCTTTCTTTTCAAGGGTTACCTTTCCCATGAAATTCTTGAGGTTTGGCTGACACAGTTGTTTACTGGGTAGGTGATGATAATGGAGCAGTGTGAAAGAGATACATGGTTGCAGTAGATTGGACAGTATCTAGAGCATGGGATACTGCTGCCTCTAGCCCTTATCCAGTATAGCCTTCCTTCTGTCCTTCCCATCACAGCCTCCAGTTGTGTGTCTGAGTCTCGGCATAGTCTCAGCATAGTCTCTGTGTATGTTTGCCTCTTTAGGGTCTTTCTGGGTCCATGGTGTTTCTCTGGGTGCCTTACTAAACATAGTTATAAGTATCAGAACAATAAGTGACAAGTACTTTTCATATTGAACTGTGTGTGTGTGTGTATGTGTGTGCATGCATGCGCCACAGTGCACATGTGGAGGTCAAAGGTCAACGTGAGAGTAAGTTCTCTCCTTCCACCATACGGGTCCTGAGAATAGGATTCAGGTCAACAGGCTTGGCAGCCATCTCGTCAACACTTGAGCTGATTTTTTTCTTTCTTTCTTTCTTTCTTTCTTTCTTTCTTTCTTTCTTTTTTTTTTTTTTTTTTCTGGTTTTTCGAGACAGGGTTTCTCTGTGTAGCTTTGGAGCCTATTCTGGCACTCCCTCTGGAGACCAGGCTGGCCTCGAACTCACAGAGATCCGCCTGCTTCTGCCTCCGGAGTGCTGGGATTAAAGGCATGTGCCACCACCGCCCAACTTTGAGCTGTTTCTAAGTTGTTAATTTGTGTTGGTCAGTCTTTATCACGGTGACAAAATACCTGAGATCAACAATTTAAGGGAGGAAAGACTTAGAGCTCACGGTTTTCAAAGTGTCAGTGCACATCTGGCAGGCTCCATTCCTGTGGGCCTGGGTTCAGATGGAAACACCACAGTGGAAAGGCTTAGCTGAGAAAAGCTGTTTCCTCCAGGCAGCTGAGCAGTGACAGGAAAGACGGGAGAATGGAAGATTTAGCATTTTCTTCTTCTAATCAGCTTTATGAGTCCCCACCCCATTTGGTGCGGTGTATTTATTTCATATCTAAATCATAACATAATTGAAGAGGTAGTATTCTGTTGCCATCTTTTTGTCATTTCAGCAGAAGTAACCATTGTAGTGGGAACTATGTAGTTCTGTGGAGATTGATGTCATGCAGGGAACGAGACAGGTAGGCCAGGGTCTTCTGGACAGTTCTTTGGGCTCAATCACTGTATTGAGCACCTGCTTTCAGTCTCTGACACTGAACTTTGGGCTTACAGTCCGGGGTGAGGTATGTCCATGTCCTCATGGTTAGCATTAGAACATCTTGACCTCTTCTAGGCTCTGCTGCAGGAAGAGGGGCCAGTGCTTCCCAATGCAGGGTTCTCTCCATATTAGGCAGTTTGGGTTAGATGGGAAGACAGCAAGTGTCTTATGATGAGGCCTTTTCACTTGAACAGGGGACTCCGGTACGTGCAGGGTGATGGGTGTAATTGTCAGGTTGTCCTTCAGAAACTGTTTTCCTTTTAACAGAGAGCAGCTCATCCCGGCTCAGGGTGGTCAGAGGTGGACCTCCTTCTTCTTCTGGGCACAGTGGGCCATGTTCTGAGCCTGGGAGCCAGCAGCTTTGTGGAGGAAGAACATCAGACCTGGTACTTTCTTGTTAACACTCTGTGCCTGGCTCTGAGCCAGGAAACCTGCAGGAGTTACTTTGTGGGAGATGACTGTGAGCCTCAGCATCACTTCCAAGTGGAGGAACAAGGATGTTCGGACATACTTGCCAGCACCCTTTTGGACAGTACGAGCTATAATACCCCTGAGCCTGTCAGAACTGGTAAAGGGGCCTCCCTTTCTGAAGCACAAGGAAGCTGCAAATGGTGGACAGTGCTGGCAAGTCCATGGCTGGTGCTGATCTGCTGCCGGCTACTGAGGTCCTTGAACCAGACAGGGGTGCAGGGAGCCCACAGGCCTGACCTCAGCCACTGGCTTACCAGGTAAGCATGACCTATGGACTGAAATCCTTTGCAGCTCAATAGTCACACATAGTCTTCTTTTTCTGTATTTTGTCCTTTTAAAAATATTAGCCGGGTGTCGGTGGCACACGCCTTTAATCTCAGCACTCGGGAGGCAGAGGCAGGCAAATCTCTGTGAGTTCGAGACCAGCCTGGTCTGCAAGAGCTAGTTCCAGGACAGCCTCCAAAGCCATAGAGAAAACCAGTCTCAAAAAACAAAAAAAAAACAAAAAAAAAAAAAAAATTAAGACTAAGATAATACTTGAGATCTAAAGAAATAGAAAATATACCCCACGAAGTTGAAAAGAGGCTAGCTTAATAAATTTGATTTATTAAGGACTGTGGGTTTTAAAATGATCATTGTGATAAATGTGTAACTCTGGGGTAGAGTCCTTGGTGGTTCACTCTATACTGCTGCCTGTAGACAAGAGGGTCAGTGGCAAAAGGCTGCAACCTCTGGATCATCTTTGCCTTCTCTCTCTGCACCCTCAGAAGGCAATGTAAATAGCAGATCTTCAACATCTCCTGAGCCTTCTACTGAGGCTGCAGAGCCAGGAAGAGATGTACATAGGAGTAGATGGAAGATTCTAAGAAGAGTCTTGAAGTAAGTGGAAGAAACTGAGTCTGGCAAAGTCAAGACCAGACTGTTATAATTTTTAGTTGTCTGACAACAAAGACTCAAGCTAAAGTAAAAGAACAGCAAAATGAGAATGTTCAGAGGAACAGACAGTTGCAGAACTGTGTAAAATTACAATGCAGAGGGTAAGAAGTACTCCTACTAGTGCTTGGGAAGTTTCAGTTGATACTGTGGCATGATTTTATATCTGTATGGTGGAGAAACAAAAACAAATGGTATCCCCCAAGACCTTACAAGTGTACTGTCAATCTGAATGGGGGCATCAAAGACTGCTTCCTCTAACCAGAGACTCCCATGGAGAGTCCCCCTTAATATTAACTAACTTATCAAACTTTAATAATCCCACAGTTACAGCTGGTGTCTTTGTAGTACCTGCTATGGGCCTGCACAACACCCCAGGAGAAACAGCGCTATGTGGTCCTCACTTTGGAGTTCAGGAAACATGGAGAATTGGGCCTCGTGATAGGCCATATCTCCTTGGCCCAGGTCTGTGAAGTGATTGATCTGTTCGGAGCTACAGGCTTAGGAAGAACACAATAGACACTTGTTTTTTCTCTGAAAAATTGAAACATTTGGTGCATGTGTGTCCTGCATGACTTCTCAAGTGTACTGCTTCCTGCACCTAGATTTTTTTTTTCTTAAATTGCTGGGTCATTCAAATTATAAAGAGCCATTTTATAAGTCCCATTAGCTGCCCACTCCAAAGCTGTTTCAGTTAAATACCACTTCTCTATGTGGTATACAGCAATCAGTAGGGTGCCTAGGATGTGCAATCTAAAGCACAGCAGAGACCTTTGGGGTGAGACCTCCAGGTGAGACCTATAGTTTTTTTTTGTTTTTTGTTTTTTTGTTTTTTGTTTTTTGTTTTTTGTTTTTGTTTTTTTTTTTTTTTTTGGTTTTTTCGAGACAGGGTTTCTCTGTGGCTTTGGAGGCTGTCCTGGAACTAGCTCTTGTAGACCAGGCTGGTCTCAAACTCACAGAGATCCGCCTGCCTCTGCCTCCCGAGTGCTGGGATTAAAGGCGTGCGCCACCAATGCCTGGCTGAGACCTATAGTTTTAAATCATCTCTTCCCGTCCTAACAGCCGCAACTGTCTTCTGCCGTTTTCTGGTTTGTTTTTGTTTTTCTTTGTGTTTTTCTGTTCTCTCTCTCCCTCCCCTCTCCCCAACCCCCCTTTCTCCCCTCCCCCACCTCTCTCCGTGTATTTGTTTTGAGACAAGGTCTTGCTCTGTACCCTAGGCTGGCCTCAAACTTGTGATCTTATATCTAAGACTCTTACTTGTCATGATTACAGATGTATGTCACCATGCCCAGTTTCATTCACATTTTCTGAAGTCTCTTCCCATTTCTGTGTATCTCTTTCCAGAATATGTATTTAACAGCTATTAACTATCTAAGCTTTATGAGCATGGACTGTGTAAATAATTTAAGGACGCCGGCCTTGCCAGAATTCTTTACACATAGCACTGCCTATGCACCTCTGCTCAGCAGGACAGCCACCAGTCAGAGCCTAGAGCCAAGAGAGTTGAGCTGTGTGAGAGAGCAGTAGAGCCAGGGTGAGGACGAAATAAATGGAGGATACCGGAGACAGAACTGTTTGTACCTAGTACCTGCATCTGACACTGTCTGAAGAGTAAGAAATGAGATCTCAGCATGGCAGTCTTTGTGACATTTTAAGAACTTTGTCTTTGTTTTGTATCCTGGCTTTCTAGAAAAATTGTCTGATTGTAATACAATTCTTTAAAAACCCTTCAATTATAAATCACCAATTCTATTGTAGTAATTTGGGCATTTTCTGTCTTATTTCAGCTCTGACCACAAAGTACAACTCTCAGGCCTGGCTGCCCTTTCTCTGATTGTGATCTTCATGTTGGTTCAGAAGGGATGCTCCCCTGTATCCAAGGCAGCCTTAGCACTGGGGCTGCTGGGGGTCTTCTGCTACAGGGCAGCCATTGGGATTGTGCTGTTCCCATGGCAATCAGACAACAAAGTCATTTCAAAGTAAGTGAACTAGAGACGCAAAATTTGCTTTTATATGTTTAGTGTTTTCTGTACTAAAAAATGCCATGCTGCCAGGGTGGTGGTGGCGCACACCTTTAATCCCAGCACTTGGGAGGCAGAGGCAGGTGGATCTCTGTGAGTTTGAGACCAGCCTGGTCTACAAGAGCTAGTTTCAGCTACAGAGAAACCACAGGTCTACAAGAGCTAGTTACAGCCACAGAGAAACCCTGTCTCAAAAAACCAAAAAAAAAAAAAAAAAAAAAAAAAGCCATGCCAATCCTTACAATACTGGAGATTAGCTTAGTTTTCTTTTTTAAATTATTTATTATTTTATGTGCATTGGTATTTTGCCTGCAGGTATGACAGTATAAGGGTGCCAGATACCCTAGAATGGAGTTAGAGACAGTTGTGACCTGCCATGTGCATGTTGGGACTTGAATCTGGGTCCTCTTAAACTCTAAGCCATCTCTCCAGCCCCTGGAGTTTAGTTTTTATGAATGGTGGTTTCATTTGCAGCTGTTATTTCCTGGCCAAGAAAATCTTAATGCACCACTTTGGTAGCACTCTTGGGAGAAAAATAACTTAGAAGTCAGGCCACTGTATTTATTTTTTAAATTAATAAATAATTTAAGTCCTAGGACTGATGGATATAGTGATAAATGAGTTAATGGCAACCTTCATTTCCTAGGATTTTGGTTTTGCTAAGTTGAGGTGTGACTTACAAGGACAGTAATAGTGTGGACATTCCCAGCAGTTGGGAAAGGAAGCTAGCTTCCCTATGTTACTCTTGTACGGCCCAAGAATTCCTGTTGTGCAAATCAAGAAGACTCAACCATGAAATTGGTATTTGTGATAGAACTGCTGGGGTAACTGGACAGAGCTGCAGAGTGTGGCTACCTTCTTGTATGGTTATGTCTGTTCTCAAAAGTTACTTCAAGAATACAATCAGAGGGGCCATCAAAAATAAGACACCCTCATGTCCTTTAAAACATCATTTGTAGTTGAAAAACATAATTGTTCAGCAGCAATGGTAATTGTCCAGCTCTGTGGTAGGATCTTTTAACTGTGAGACAGTAAGTTTTCATAGAACACAGAAGGGTATTGCGAAGCAGTAGGCAAAGTCTTGCATGATGCCAGCTTACCAAACTTTTTTTGTATTTGACTTAAGTTGATAAAATATTAATTATCATATTTAGGGCCTAGGATCATATATAGATTGTGGCCTTACTTTTTACTCATTTGAAATATCTGGAATTAACAAATACTGAGAGACAAGGTATAGCCAGAGGCTTGGAGGGTTACCCGAAAACACGTGCTGATGGATGTGAGGTGACAGAAGTGTGATGGCCTTCAGCTGAGGCAATAAGTCACAGGGAATATAAAGAAGATGGTGAGTGAGACTGAGAGCATTTTGTAGAGACAAAGGCTCTTCTTGGCTGTGGAGTCTGGAACTTTGGGCAAATAGTTGTATATTACATTTGGTGTTTCTGTTTCATTTCCAAGTGCAGTGTGTGAATGCACTTGATTTCTGCATTATTCATCTCAAGGCTATGATCCCCCTACTTTCTTGTCTGCTCATCAGCAGCTTGTCTTTTGTGGATGACTAGAAGATAGCCGTTGTGCCTCTCCTCTAAGCTTGCTCCTTCTTCACCCTGTATCTGGTTTCAGATCCACCCGGTTCCTAAAGTGCTTAAGTTTTGAATTCATCCTAGATCCTGACCTGTCTGGTTCTGCATCTACTATGACTCTCTATTCACCAAGTATCTAAGACCCTTTGCCTGGAAACTTTCCTTTCTTCTCCACTCAGAAGCCCAAGCATGTATGGGATTAAAGTCGGTTTAAAGCCCTAGAAATGAGAAGCACTGTTCTTTTCTATCTAGTGCTTGGCATTGTCTCCTGGGACAGGAATTCTCTGAAGCATTTTGATAGCTTTGACATTTGCTGCATTTTGCTTTATTGGAACCCATATGGACCTTTCTTTAGCTTTTATATTAGGACACATATGATCATCGGTTTGCTAGGTACTTGACCCAGCTCCTCAGCCAGTGCCACACTGTCCCACATGTAACACACAGTATCAACACTGAATTAAATTAATCATAATATAAGGGAATGTTTTTAATGCATAAAATGTTGTTAAGACTGTGATACAGGAAATTCAGCTTTTATAAGATACTGCTGTATTGCAGTTTCATTTAAAATTTACTTTAAGTGGCTATCTTTTCTTTTAATTAATGAATTAGTTTTTATGTGTTTTGGTGTTCTATCTGCATGTATGTCTGTGTACCACGTATGTGAGGAGGGCATTGGATTCCCTGGAACTGGAGTTGCAGACAGTTGTGAACCACCATGTGGATGCTGGGAGATCAAACATGGGTCTTTTGTTTTTGGGTTTTTTTGTTTTGTTTTGTTGTTTTAAACAAGATCTCAATATGTAACCTGGGTCTGTAGGTTATGTAGACTAGGTTGGCCTCAAACTCACAGACTGCCTGTCTCTGCCTTACCTCCTGAGTGCTGGAATTAAAAGTATGCACCACACACTCCATATAATCTTCAAGTATATAAATACATCATTTATAAAATATGCTTAAAATATTATGTTTTAGGAATATGTATTAAAGAAGATGATATTTAGTCTATAACAGCACTTAATATTACTAAGCATCTTCTGTGTGCCAAATACTTCATGTCTATTTCTTTACACATATGTAATTCTTAGGATAACCATGTGATATGTAGGAACCACTTTCTGTTTTCATGAATAATGGAGTTGTCAGAGTGTTAATTGTCTACAACAAAACTAGTGAGCCACAGAGCCCAGACCAAACCATTTGGACGACTGCATGCCAACATTATCCATTTTGTACATGTCAGCATGCAAGTTCTTTTTAAATCCATTTAATTGCAATTGAACATGCTGAATTAGCATTTTTGAACTTAGGAAATTTCAGATATTCAGGTCTTTGACTAGCACAGTGGTTTTTCATTTAACTGTGCAAAGTGGATTGGTGATTCCCTTGACATGTTACAAGGGCATAGCTCTCTCTCTCTCATCTTGCTATCAGGTGGTCCTTGGACCATATAAGCAAGTTTTCCCCAAAGTCAGCTTCATCAGGACAGTACATTCCAGCATGTGCCTGTTGGCCTTACTGGCTGCATTATCTAATTAGATACATGTTTTAAATGGAAAAATATGTACTTCAATTTTTCTAGATGGTATAAATGAATCTAACATGTTTTGCTTTTTTTTAGGGGTATTATTGAAGCTCGTTTTGTTTATGTATTTGTCCTTGGCATTCTGTTCACGGGTACCAAAGATTTACTTAAAGCACAAGTCATTGCAACAGACTACAAAACCAGGACAATAGGTTTGTGGGAGATACATAGTGGATTAGTCCTTCTGGCAGCCTTGCTTTTGAGACCACATAATCTTCCAGTGTTAGCATTTAGTCTCTTGATTCAGACTGTAATGACTAAGTTCATCTGGAAGCCCCTGAGACACGATGCAGCCGAGATCACTGTAATGCATTATTGGTTTGGTCAAGCATTCTTCTATTTTCAGGTAGGTTTTCATTGTTATCAATGGGTAGAAGACTGGTAACTTTTTTATGTCATGTATCTTTTAGTTTTTCTTTCCAAAAATGTTGTAAGATGGAAAGTTATATGTATTCAGTGAAAAAACTGAAAATGTATAGAAAATTATACTTAAATCTTATGTGGATTTTATTAGATAAAGTATAGTTTGTCATTTTAAAAAGGCATGCTTGACCAGGTATGGAGGTACATTCCTTTAATTCTAGCACTGGGAAGGCAATGGCAGGCAGATCTCTGTGAGTTATAAGCTAACCAGTGGTACATAGTAAAACTCTGTCTAAAAAAGAAATAAAAAAAAGACTTGCTCTGTGTGGATGCATCTATATATCCATAAGACAATGGGTTGTTGTTTTGCAGGAAGGATTGGGTAGGAATTGATTTATTACAAACAGTAAAGGGAACACCTTAAGTCTTTTATGTGTTTTGTTTTGGGAATATAGTAATTAGACTTCATGTACCTTTGTCCCTGATGTCAAGGCTGTCCACACTGGGAACCATTGGGTGTATCCACAGTTAGTAGTCCTCTAAGGCCTGGAGGATCATAGGACTTCTTGTATTTAAAGATTTATCATTGGAAACCCAAGCCTGCCTCCCTTTTGTTGTGTAGAAGGATAGCAGGACAGATAATGGACCTTAGAAGAATCTAGTTCCTACTAGCAACCCCAAGGAGGGTATATATCACTGTAGTTTCCTTCACAATTCCACTTGATCTCTTCTGTGTGCACTGGCCTCTCCTTTTTATTTGTCTTGTCCTGATAGGTCAGTCTGTCTCTTCCCTGTGTTCCCATTGTTCTTGGTTTCGTATGTCCCCAGCCTTACCTATGAATCAACTCTAGGTTGTATGGTTTGCCTTTTGTCACCAAAGGCCAAGAGTAGTTGGATTAAATTATAGGAATCTATAATTCCTTTAGTACTGAGACCAGACCAAGACCAGCCCTGGACTGTTTGCTGTGGTGATCTGGCCCTCCTGACTCCTTCTACCCTGGTTTCCCCCATGGACCAACAGAGTTCCCCCATAATAGACTCAAGACCTGTGATTTCCTTGGGCATACGGATATAATTAGTAGAATGTAGGTAGTCACCAAACTGTATACTATGTGTCATTAATCCCCATGTCCCATGTTGCATTTCAGCTGGGCTGGGTTGTGGCTAACCTCCTGGCTTCAGTAGAAAAGTGGGTACTCAGTCACAGCATGTCAGTGTCCAGGAGATGTGTTTTGTGGGCCTGCGAGGACCTTATGTACTGTCCTCAAGGAAAGAAAGATTTACGCACTTGTCTTGAGAACGGGTGATATGTCTTCAGGAAGGTGTGATATACCTGTGGTCAGTCATAAGATTGGATATGCAAAATTCTTCAAAAGACTCATTCTGTGTAGGAAATCTTCTACCACCTTCTGGGTCTGGAGAAATATGACCCATCCAGAGCCAGCCTGGTGACCTAAGGAGCAGGTAGATGATTGCTATGACCAGTGTCTCTTGCTCCTCTGATCATGTGTCCATGCTTGCTGTTCTTCTGTTCCAGGGTAACTCAAACAACATTGCCACCATTGACATTTCAGCAGGCTTTGTGGGCTTAGACACCTACTTGGAAGTTCCAGCCACTTTCCTCACTGTGTTTGGAACATATGTCGGGCCTGTGCTCTGGGCCAGCCACCTTATGCACTTCCTGAGCTCAGAAGCAAGCAAGTAAGGCACTTACTTTGTCCTTCAAAACAAATGTGACTGCAGATTGTCGGTTTTTGAGAGTAATAACATTTTCTATTCAAGGCATCTGAACTCCAAATGTTAGAGAATCTTTTTATTGATTTTTTTTTCCTTAAATAAGAAATGTAGCTCATGGACCATTTGCCTCAGTCAGGTCTGAGGGACTCTATTGATCAGATTCAGTTTTTCAGTTCAAACCACACAAGAAGAAGAAACCCATAAAGAAAGCCCTGTAGCAAAACCAGATGAGGAGCAAAGCCAGATGCCACAGGCAAAAAGGCAAGAGATGTGCTGTCTAGAGATCACTGAGGTCAGCAGGAGGTGATGTCCCATGGGAGTAGTCACTGGGAAAGTCCATACTCAGCTCTGAGCCACTTAATGTTTTCCTGCTCATTCTTCCATTCTGAGGGCAAGGAGACAAATGGCATGGGCTCCCCCCCCCCCCCAAAAAAAAAAAAAAAAGCTTTTGGCGATCCAGGAAGATTATGCTAGGAGGAGTTGCTGGTTGTATAGATACTGAGTAAGTCAGTCCCATCTGCCTTAGCCCATCTAGGCTCTTGTGCCCTCCAGCAGCATGGAGGCGCTTCCCAGGATTTGGCTTGCTCAAGGTTGCCACTGTTGGGTATATATAGCTCTTCATGCTTGTCTAACATGTCCGTACTATCCCTGCCTATTTTCTCTACAGCTAGTTTTGCTTCTAGTTGTTGGTTTCTGTGTTGTGTCTCCCTGAAAGAAGGCTTCATAGGAAGCTCAGAGTAGTCTAGAGGTTCGTAGCCACTACTGGCAGCCATACATTCTTGGACCCGGCTGTGCCTGCTTACTTCTTAGTGTGCCTAAATCATGGAAAGCTAGCCTCTCTCTGTGACACTGGAGCTACCAACCAAAGACAGGGAGGAGTGATAATATGAGCAAAGGGGTCAAGACCATGCTGGGGAAACCCACAAAAACAACTGACCTGAGCTAGTGGGAGCTCACTGACTCTGGACAGACATCTGGGGAACCTGCATAAGAGCGAACTAGGCCCTCTGAATGTGGGTGACAGTTGTGTGACTTGGGCAGCTTGTGGGGCCACTGGCAGTGGTACCAGAATTTATCCTTAGTGCATGAACTGGCTTTTTGGAGCCCATTCCCTATGGAGGGATACCTTGCTCAGCCTAGATACAGGGTGGAGGGCCTTGGTCCTGCTTCATTGTAATGTGACAGACTTTGTTGACTCCCCATGGGAGACCTCACCCTCTCTGAGGAGTGGATGGGGGCTGGAATAGGGAGAAGGGGAGGGAGGAGAACTGGGATTGGTATGTAAAATTAAAAAGATTTTTTTTTTTTTTTGAAGTGTTTCTTAGCTGGGCGGTGGTAGCGCACGCCTATAATCCCAGCACTCTGGAGGCAGAAGCAGGTGGATCTCTGTGAGTTCCAGGACAGCCAGAGCTGTTAAATAGAGAAACCCCATCTTGAAAAAAAACAAAAAAACAACCAACCAACCAACAAAGTGGTTCTTGCTGTGGTGACTGTCAGGGATGACTCCTCCTGGGATGTCTCCAGGCTTCTGCTTACCTCAGTGACCTGCAGACTGTATATATGCCCTTGTCCCTATCGGTGTCATGTGTGGCCTGCCTCTCGTCTGGTGTTATTCCTTAACTTCTTTCATTAGTTTGTCCTCAGACCATCCTGCCTACTTACTTCCTAAACTAGTCTGGGGTCTCCAAGTTCATGTCCATAGCCCAGGCTCTCTTCTCTGCTCTAGACTCATGTCTGACCTCTAGACTCATGTTGGCACCTTCATGGAGGGACCCAGATAGCACTGAACTCAGCAAGCCCAAGAAGAGAACGATCCACTAGTTCACTGGTACTGCATTTCCCTCAGGTAAAGGTGCTCAGACGTTAGTTATTAGCTCAAGCATAGCTACAGAAAGTTCTCAAAGGCTGGACAAGGAACTCTGGTGGTCTCAGCCAGAAAGAGAAGCACCCTCCTGTGCAAACTACATTTGGGTTGTAGAGAGAAACAGATAACCTCTCTCAAGCAGATACTTTGCTATTCAAGGGAGAAAACATTTTTAGAGAGGACAAACATTTCTGAGGACAAGGAATGCCTGGACTTCACTTGTAGCTGTCCCATGCCTACACTTTGATTCAGTCTGTAGAAAGTTCATCTTAAATTATACAACCCACAAATGAGGCTGTTGGGCCAGAATCTGGAAGTTGTGGTTGATGTGAACTGCCTGCCAGCAACAATGCTGAAATCCTATGCTGATGTTATAGGAGCAGTGTGCACAATATTCTACATGGATAATGCTAAAAACTGTCCCACAAGGCAGTGCCATGTGGAAACCCACTGTACCACGTGCTGACGTGTCAGGTAAAAAAGAAGCTCCATTTGGTACATCATTGCCTCAGCACAGATGCCCTGTTTATGCCTCCCAAACAAGGGCAGCCAGAGCCCTTTATCTACAAGGTTTAAGCTGAGTATTTACTTTGTGGTACATTGGTGCACTGTTCATGAGGCATTTGCAGTCACTTGGGATATGACAAGGTAACCCTTGACCTTGGGCCAGGTACCAAGTAGGAACTATCAGTTCAAGCATGAGGAGTAAAACAAAGGAAGTACTGGGCTGTCTATATGGCAGGGGTCAAGTGTGATATAACAGTTGGGAACGAACCAGGGGAAAGTGTGCCAAGACCAACATGAGAAGCCAGTGAAGGCTGAGGTGATGTTGTGGAAGAGATAGCTCAAGCTGTCCACCGGTAACACCATTTGAAAAAAACCAGAGGGCTGGGTGTTGGTGGCGCATGCCTTTAATCCCAGCACTCGGAAGGCAGAGGCAGGCAGATCTCTGAGTTTGAGGCCAGCCTGGTCTACAGAGTCAGTGCCAGGATAGGTTCCAAAGCTACACAGAGAAACCCTGTCTTGAAAAGAAAAAACAAAAACAAAAAAAAGAAAGAAAGAAAAGAAAAGATAGGAAGAAAAAAAACAGGGGTCTGGTGCTCAGAACAGTCTTGTCTCTTGGCCACTGAGTAGCTATTGGTGTTAACACTGGATAATGAGCATGAAAATAGATGTTTGGGGGAGATGTCCTAAAGTGGCACCTGGTGGAGTTGCCTGATCAACAGGTGCACACACTTGCCACTCTGTCTCTAAGTACATTCCCCAGCAAGGCATGCCCTGCAACTCATGGCCTACATTCAGGCATATCATTCCCGAGATAGGAACCACTCCTTTTGCATTACATAAATACATTTTATTCTCAAGAGTCTGTGATAACCCCAGATTTGTAAATTCCATGGTCCCAGGTTCTACATCCCATCCATAGCCTCTGATCATTGTAAAAGGACCTAAATTCACCATCCAGATCCTCAAATCTCAGGCTCTCCAGTCTCTGCCACAAGCTTTGCTGCTTCACCTGTAACCCTGTCATGAGCTACAGCTTATCTGACATGTTCAGTTTACATTACGGCCTAGTTTTCCTGGAGCATGGCCACCACTGGTCACAAAGCAACTTGCACTGTGCACACATTCAGGTGATCCCTATAGGATCCAAAGAGAGATGAGAACCTCTGACATAAGAGGCAATGATTTTTAGTAATACAGTATGGTAACTAACATACATATCTCCACAGGAAGTAGGGATCCTGTGATTTATAAGTGTTTAGAAGCATTTTTAAGCATTTGAAGTGCAGATGTTACTATTCTCATTAAAGTTACTATTTAAATTTACTTAACAGAAATGGTTGTTTGATATATTTTATGAATTTATTAGGTTTTGCCTGTCCTTTTTAAAAGGATTACTAGCTTTAATTTTTTATTACATCTATTTATTTGGTGTGTGTGTGTCTCTGTGTGTGTCTGTGTCATACATATAGGTCAGAAGACAACTTGTAACTGTCAGTTAGTTTTCTTTTTCTACCATATGGGTCCTAGGGATTGAACTCCGATTGTCAGGTTTAGCAGCAAGTGCCGTCCTACCTACTGAGCCTAGTTTTACCTTTCCTGTACACCTGTAGGGAAGTTATCATTGTGTCTAGTGACCCACCAAGTACACAGAAGAGAGATTGTGGTATATTCTAGTCCAGAAGCAAGAGTGTTCACCTATTTTCAAAGTAGAAATCTGAAGTGTTGCTGTGACATGCTTTGACATGTATTTTCTGTTTTGTTAATAGTGGTCCAGCTCTGAGCCGTGCTTGCTTCTGCTATGCACTGATTGGCTCTGTTCCAGTTGCCACATACATTGTTTTGGTGACATCCCTTCGTTATCACTTGTTCATATGGAGTGTATTTTCTCCAAAGCTTCTCTATGAAGGGATGCATCTGCTCATCACGGCTGCCCTGTGTGCAGTATTCACCGCCACAGACCAGACACGCCACACAAGGGCTTAGTGGAGACAGATGCTTGGAGCTGGTGCAGTTTTCAGTCACTGTTTGTATCATGGATTTGAACATTGAAGCTGCCTCCATTCAAGATCATTCTGAGAGGTTGAGGGAAAGATGGGAAGCCTATGAAGTTAGTGCATAACTTAATTTTACTTTGATTGAAATTAAATAGTAGATTAATAAAAGACCACTTTAAGTACTTAAGTATCAGATTTTCCTTATTTACAATCACTCTGAAATTTCTGAAATTTTTAATTTCCTCTTGATGCATTGTGACTATGTTTAGATTGATGGAAACAAAGATTCTGGATTATATCATTATGTATATTAATCTCAGAGAACCCAGAAGCTCTGTGGGAAGAGGTATGCCTGCTACAGGGACTATGATCAAAAATCTCACACTCCTAAGATCACTTAGATCAGAGGTCCCCAAAATGTTTCGGTTTATGTGGATTATGTTTATTAATGTTGATAACATTTGAAATGAAAACTAAATAATTTCAAAACATTATTCATTTAATAGTAATCTGTTGGTGGACAAGGTGGAATATACTTGGATAATACCAGTACTCAAAAAGGCAAAATCAGGAATATTATGATTTACAGGCTGCCTGGGTTATATAGGATGACCTTGTCTCAACCCCCACCTCCCAGTAAAAACATTGCATATTAATATAACAAAATAACCATATTTTCCAAAAAATTAATGAGAAAATAGCATTGTTTTTATGTTTTTGCAGATGTCTTAAATGACCCACTTAATTGAAGATAATTGGAGTCTACATTTGATCTATTGTAATTTATATTTGAAAAATAAGAAAGCCAGCCTCACTCAACCCTGTGGTTAGAAAAGTGTGGTGTATACTACTTCTCTGTCAGCTTAAATACTGTGCTTTGATGCCAAAACAAAAATTGGCAAATGTGTATATTGTTTTATTGTTGTTCTTATTTGAGACAGGATCTCTGTAGCCTAAGTTGGCCTCAAATTTTTGATCCTGCTTCAGCCTCCCAAGTGTTAGGATTATCTGTGTGCATCCCTGTGCCTGGTTTCAGATGTTAGCTCTTCCAAGTTAGTTGGACTAGAACAGGGGATTGTAATTTATCTGTGTGTGCAGGTTAAACTGATGATCTGGCTAGAGTCTTCTTTTTCACAGTTCAAATATATTTTAGTCATTCCATATTTAATAGGCCTAGGCTTGAGCCAGTGGAGTTGTTTCTACATCATCATGGTCCCTGCTGACACAAAACTGACCTGCCAGGCAAGATAATGCCTTTAATACAATAGTGGCATGAATGTTATGGCAGTAAGCAACCACTTTGGTTAAATTCAAAGCCTCTTCTACGTCGTGCTGTAAACCTGGTCAAAAGCCCATGGAAAGAGAGGTCATAGGCTCTAAGAGAAAACCTACTAGTGTATTTGTTTATATGCACAGATTAGGACTACTCTCAACCTTGTTCAAAGAAGCTTCAATTTTTGCAGTGAGCAGTGGTTAATGTAGAGACTTATAACTGGTCAAAATGTGGAGGATAATTGATTGTTGAATGCTCAGTCCTAAATGGAGCTTTTGTAACACACACATACACACACACACACACACACACACACACACACACCCAAGAATCAAGTGACACTGTGGAAGAATAAACAGAAAGAATGCAAGAGCTAGAGAATGGGGAGGGGTGTTGTGAAACTGTCTTCTGGACCAGAACATAGCTGTTACACTCATGAACCATAGCAGCTGTGGTCACCTACCCAAACCTGTACACGACTGAGTTCCTCAACATTCTAACAGGGAATGGGATGGGGCACTCAAAGTACCACCCCTAACTGAGGAGCTGTTGTCAGTTAAGGGCTGCTGGAGGAGGAGTCATTTTTCTTCAGAGACACAGCTACTCTACTAATAATTGCCCATGATCTGGTAAGTAACCACATGCACATATAAGCATCCCTAATTAAACTCTGTGTATTAGGCGGGGAAAGCCATGAACAGAGGAGGATGTGCTGGGAAGAAGAGTTCCAGAGAAAGTAGGGTGAGTTTGCGAGGGTGGCAGGGGTAAAAATGATCAAAATACAGTATATAGATGTAGGAAATTACGAAGACTACAGTATTTTAGAAGGGTAAGTTGGGGTAAGTCTGTGTGTATATATATTAAAGTATACATAACGTAGCTTGGAAGTACAAAGTCAAGTCTATAGTATATTTGCTTTTATAAAAAAATACTATAATTTCACTATCTAGTTTATTTTCTAGAGGAAACAAATGATATAATTTTTTTATTTAGACATTAAAATTTCATAGATACTTCAATAAAAAAGGCTGCATAACCCCATGACATTAACTTTTGTCTTTTGGCAAATGTTAGGGGTCAAACTCAAGACCTTGCCCATGCTAATCTAACAGACTACTTTTGTAGTCTTGTCAACAGCGATGTCTAAAATAGTTCTATAGCTGGGTGTGGTGATACATGTCTGCAACACCAGGACCCACTCCCAAGAGTAGCTGAGCAACACAAATTCAATAGGTTTTTTAAAGCAGGGCAGGGAGAGAGAGAGAGGAACAGAACATGACGTTGGGTGGGAAGGGAGGTTAAGTGTGGATCTGGGAGGAGCTGGGGTGAATGTAATCAAAATACATTGTGTGAAATTTTTAGGGCTGGAGAGATGGATGGGTGGTTAAGAGCTGCTCTTCCAGAGGACCTGGGTTCAATACCCTGCACCCACATGGAAGTTTTTAATGTTTATAAGTCCAGTCCTAAGGATCTGATGCTCTTTTCTGGCCTTTGTGGGCACACACAAAATGCGTGTGGTATACAGACATGCCTGCATGCACAATGCCATACACACACAAATACATTTGCAAAAACTTCCAAATTTTGTTATTTACTATTATTATTGTTTTAGTGTTTCAAGACAGAGTCTGTGTAGCCTTCTGGAACTCATATAGGCCAGGTTGATCTTGAACTCATAGAGATTCACCTGCCTCTGCCTCCTGAGTGCTGTGATTCAAGGTGTGTGCCACCATTGCCCAGCCTGAAATATTCTTTAAAAAAATCAGGCCTTAGGCAATTTTTTTTTCATGAATGTCATCACTAGAGAGTAAATTGTACCTTTTCATTATTCATTATTCATTATTTCATTTCAATATTTCGTTATTATAAATAAAAATAATATCCAAATTCGTTAAGCAAAGGAGTGGAGGGATGACAAAGTCAGTACTGCACTTGCCCTGCAAGCATGAGAACCTTAGTTTGATCCTCACACTTCACGTAGAAACACTCGGCATGGGGGGTGCGCATTTGTCATCCCGCTGGGGAGGAGCAGACAGGGTCTCTGGGGCTTTCTAAGCAGCCAGTCTAGCCTACTCGATGAACTTCCAGCCAGCCTGAGAGCCTGTCTCAAAGGAGGTAGTCAGCTCTCTGTGGGTGCCACTCGGGATTGATCTCTGACTTCTACTTCATGAACACATGTCTGTATGCACCTGGACCACA